GTCATTTTTGGTTATCTTTCCTTAATATATAATTTGTTCTACAAAAGACATGTAATATCCCACATTTTTGGTTTGCTGGATAATTTCAGGTTGTTAAACATATTCTCTGAATAACACATACAGTATAGTAATATGTTGAAATACTAAAATAAAATAACCAAGATTTATATTTTTGTAAATTATTCTTTATATCCTCTAGATTGTTACATGCTTTTAACAAAAGCTAATAAATTAAAGGTACAGTAGTATCTAAAAATATTTGATTGTTTTTCTATAAATGCACTCTCCTACATTCTATTAATTAAATGGAAACTTGTAAATACATGTTAAGCTTGTCATAATGCGCTTCAATACATTAAAGACAGAAGGAAATACTGCGATCATCCAGACCGACCTCCTGCATAGCACAGATCAAAGAACCTTGCTCAGCAGTTTCTGCACCATGCATTATGGAACTTCTGTTTTAAGCTTGGGAATATCTTTGACAAACATGCATAAATTTGGCTTTAAAGATTTCATGTGATAGAATATCTCTACTGGACTACAAGTAGTTGTTCCAAAAGTTAGTGCTCTTTGTTCATATGCAGTGGCTTAATCCTAGACTGAATTTGATGAGCTTTAGCTTCAATTCAATGGATCTTACTGTAACCTATTTCATTAGAACCCTTTTATCTATTATCCAAAATACTTTCACTGTGTATTTTTAGTATAGAGAGTAGGGTCAAGTTACATTTTGGCTAAGATTTAAATAGATTGATTTCCTATTCTAAGCCTTAAAACAATTTCTCACAGCTCTCTTCTGAACTCCTTCCAGAACTTTCATTAACTTTCTTTTCAAACAATGAACATCAAAATGGGAAACATTTGGCAGTGGTTCCATTGGAAGTCTTTATAGAAATAAAGTCTCTGCATCCCTCTAACTCCTACACAATCCCCTGTTGATACATTTATGGTGGCCTTTTAACTTCAGCAGTCTTTTGAGAGCTGGTGTTCCCATCATGGTGTCTGTCAATCCTCTGAGTGTTCTAGGACACACTTGCCACATACTTCATTTTCACCCACCTGCTGTACAGTAGCATAAAGGGACCAGGAGTGGAAGAAACACCTGAAGTTCCTAAGGTAGCACAAATTATGATATGGAATGCTTCCTTCTCAAGAAACAGTCTAACCTTAGGCACTACCTTGTTCTAGTAGGAGCTGCTTTTTTTAAGGGGAGGATACTACATGCACTTCCTTCTGAATAACAAATTACTGAAAGGCTCCTGTCCTACTAAGGTTCTGGGTATCTTCTGCCACCAATTTTCTGTGCTCAAGTGGTGCAGTTTCTCCGACAACAGAGGTGTGTAAATGTGGTACTTCTTGCTAACATACATAAAAGCAAGATTCGGCATGCATGGGAGGCTTTGCAAGGTTACTCTGACGCAGTTCTTGCTAATTCTTCATAGGAAGCTCTGACTAAGAAGTAAAAATGGTGCCCTGTAGTAACTGCCAGTTATGCCGAAAAAAAAGATCACTGATCAAGTTTGCAGTTCTTCTCCCAAAGTACTTTTTTACTTTGTAAATTACTACAGTAATTTACACTAGAACTACTGGAAAAAACCTTTGTATAGTGTCGCTTTTAGAGATCTGCCTTAAAAAATTTACTATCTTGTGGTTTTATAAATCATGAGAAACACAACTACAATTGATAGAGTAATGCTAACATATAAAGAAAAATTCAAAAGTTGTCAGGAAGTCATCATTCCTACAGAAAAGCCATAAGAGTAACATTCTTCAAAGTATCTTAAATCCATGTTATTTGTGCCCTCTATGAAAATCTACCTTTTTATGTAGCTCTAGTCTTGCTCCCATTCATCACTATATCTGAAAATCCTGACATATTAACTTAGTGTGCTTATATTCTCATACATAGCATTTTGTTTTCCTTGAGGAATACTTGCTATATCTTGAATTAGTCCTTCAACAAAAACATTTTTTTCAAGATGTGCTCATGCAAGCTATTATGGCAAGAGATGCCACACTGTGATCTAAGGTCAATAGGACATATAGAAAATGCTACTGCTGCACTCAGAAGGGCACTACAAAGCTCCAAGAGGTTAAGACTGCATTAAAAGTTCTGTTTGCAAAACTATATATTATACCTGTAAGTGTGATTGTTCTCAAAATGTACCCTTGCTACATAAGTCATACATATCTCCTATCAGTAAAGCTTATTTCATTTGGAGTTTAGCTGTACTGGTCAATTCTTCAATGCAATTCTTCAATGAAGCAAAAAGGCTTTCAACCACTTTTAGTGGTTTAAGTTACTTCTTTCTGGATCTTTGGAATTTGGATGTCCAATCTTTCTCTAGAAAGAGAAACTTTGCATTTAAAATGGCACAAATGCAGACAGCTGCTACCAGAGGATGCTGAAGTTTTGGTTCCTACAGATCTTTTTATTTCTTTGAGCATCCTATAAACCATTCTGCTCAATGCTTGAGTTTGTTACTAGTGGTAAACACAGGTCAAGATAATTCCACTGACTAATCCTAAAAGAAAATTGTATGAGTAAAGACAAATAAAACACGAAAAGAGCTGATACTAGCCAGCAAAGTGTTAAAACCCATTTTTTCTAAAACAAATCCAATTTCATTCTTTCAGGCCAGTGTTTGATTTCCAGAGGTAACAGCAACAGCTACAATGTACCTAGGTTTTTGTGCAGTATTCAATTCACTCGCCAAGGCTGCATAATTCAAATAACCACCAGACAATATTAATGTGTTTGTGTATCACATTAATTTAAAAATGTCTTACTGCCAAACCTCAAAGAACAGCTTCAAAAGGTATTTCCACTGAGTTAAACTGTTCATTGTAAAGTTTCTGCAAAGCTGACACTTGGCCTGACAGTATTTGACACCTTTTTGTATGAACTTCGAGTGTGTATATAGCAACCCCCAAAGTATTTGCAGGAGGAGAGAGGTGTTTATACAGATCATTTGATCTAGCCGCACTCTATGTAATTAAAATTAATTTTAAAGTAGACAGATACAGAACTTCAGGTACCTAGTCACAAGGAATGGGGGGGCTCCTACTGAGTGCAAGACTGCACCCCTGAAAGTCATAACCCTTAAAAATTTTGTGGCTGTCATGGATTTGTGATGCAGTTTGAGCACCCAGCATGATGCTATGTAATGGCAGCCAGTGAAAGCTTTGGAAAGATACACTCTGGAGCAGTGAACCACATAAAGAAAGGATGTGTTATTTCTGCCAGTGGCACTGGTGGACTGCCACTAGAAAACTATATATAGCCCAAGGTTTCACCTTGTCAAGAAGACCTTCAAATTCTGAAAGAGAAACAAAAGAGAAAGAAATTAAACAGGAAGAGAAAATGTCTTTTGTTACTGAAAAGAACAGTTCTGTTTATCAGAAAGAAAACTGAGAAGTAACTTGATTACACTGTGCAAGCACTTTGAAAGGGGGAAATGTCAGTGCTATGGGACTCCTTAAACCAGCCAGAAAGTTACAAGAATTCCTATCTAGAAGGTAAAGTCAGGCACAATGAAATTATGAACATGGCATGAAGGGGTTTTTAGCTGTAGGTGATAATATTTTAGCTACAAAAATTGAAGAAATTTTTGATTCTTTGACATGTTCAGGTAAAGTCTGTTGGCACTTTAGAAGTTATGTTTATCCAAACACAAGCTATTTAACTGTGTATATAGGTAGGAAACACAAAGGTCCTGAGAAAATATAAGCCTTGTTATGCAAGAGACCAGGATCAATGCCAAATAATCCTTTTTGATTTTGTCATAGGTACATAATTAACAAGGATCTTGGATCCAAGTTATCACTTGAATAGACAATAAGGAAGCATTGCAGAAGTCTCAGATCACTTTTAATGCTGTGAATCCACTGCTAAAAAACAAGAGAAATGGCCAAAAAAGGTAAAATATGACCACATGTTTGCAATGAGATTTTTGTTGATGTAAAAGCTCAATATTCTTCAGATTTTTTGGCATGTCTACAGTATGAATTGAGTAGTTCTTAGAAAAAATTATGCATTATTAGTACAGAAAAAGCAATTACATATCATTAGATTAAATCATAATGCATTCATTAAGATAAATAAACCTGGTTTTTCTTCTGCATCATGAGAAATTCATTTGCCTTGGCCTGTTCTTCTCATGCACACTATATCTTCATCAGAGATAACCTTCTCTATCTTCAAAAGGACTTTTTACTTTCCATGTGGCCTTGGAAAGCCTAGTTCTGTCTTCATTTTGAGGTTGCTAAAAAAATGACTGGTTGTTCTTGGACTGAAATGACCATCATGAATCTATGAATTATATTACATAAGATACTATAAAAACAAGCCTAAATTCCCATACACCAAAGGAATGAAAATGGACAAGCCTGCAAACAACATGAAGCAAACGTGACACAAAACAGATATTTCACTGTGTACAAACAATAGCCCTTGGCTGATAAACGGAAAGAAGTTTTAAGGTTGTTTGTAATGTCATGAGATCATGTCTTGCAGAATCACAGGTCTCCATCAAACTAAGGGGCATTTTCTAATCATATGTGGAGGGACTGTATAAATGATTTGTGAGATATTATTTGCTAATAGCATGATTTTGTTCTAGGTTTGTATTTTCTAGTCTTGCTGAAAACAGTGTAAACTTCTGCATCCCTAAGAAAGCTTCTCTCTGTGTTGGCAAGGAAATGATAGAAGAATGTAATTAAGCAAAGATGACCCTAAAGTGAAATGTGGATTCTTTACAATATACAATGTCCTTCCCACCAGCCACATGTGTTTGTCAGATGTTTACAGAATCTTCATTAACTAAGAGCTTTGCTAGATAACAGAAGCTGAAGCATGGCATCAATGACTCTGATAAGGACAAGTGTATGACCAATCTGCTTGACAACTGACAAGAGGCTGGGGTTTGAAGCAGACTGCAAAAAGAACACCAGAAAGTGATTTGCAAAGGGCATTCCAGTTGTTTGCCTTACATCTTCTTTTCTCTGTCAGTATTGAAACAAGACTGGCAATCAGCTAAAATATCCTTGTCCTCTTGTCACTCCACCAGAAAGTAAATGTAGAAGAAATGTGTTGTTTTGGAGTATTAGCTGCACTGTCTGTTTTCAACATCATTGCTTGTTTGACAAGAGGCAAGCCTGTGGAAGACTGGGACAGGCTGTCAGGTATGGCAAAGTCTGATGCACACTTTCATCCTGGGGAAGCAGAAGATGAGAACCATTTCAACTTTAAATCTTTCTTGGAGAATATGAAGATGGATTTACTGAGGAGTTTGAATTTGTCAAGGGTCCCCTCACAAGTGAAGACCAAAGAAGAACCACCACAGTTCATGATTGATTTATACAACAGATATGCTGCAGACAAGTCCTCCATCCCTGCATCCAACATTGTAAGGAGCTTCAGTACTGAAGGTAGGAAAAATCCTCAATATGTGGACTACAATTTTTAAAGAAATAAATTGATAGTAAATAGTCAGATTATTTTAAAATTCAGAAGAAATTGAGTTCCTAACTTCCCCAGATTATTTAGAAATTAAAAGTTAAAACTTTGCATTGTATTCTTAACTATATAGTTTCTTTCAATCTTTAAAAAATGCAGTAATCTTTATTTTTCTTCTTTGATATTTTCACTGTACAATATTCTCTTCTCAAATGCTTGAGCTAAGAGGATGCACTAAATAGCAAGGTTTACATGAAGCATGCTTCTCAATCCTAGATATTTCAAACTGAGTTTTAATGTTAGCATGCATACTTTTGATCACCTATAATTGACACTGGTGCTAGAGAGCTTTTCTTTCTGGTGGGCTCTGTACATATTTAAAAACTACAGCAACCAGCTGGGAAATTTGTTGCTGGATCCAAACATGGACCAGCACTGCTCCTCCAAAATTCTGGGTTAGACAGAGATTTATATGGAAATGGTTAGTCATGCTTATGTCAACAGAAAAAATTCAAGATCCCTGACTACGTAACATTAAATAGACTTTTAAAAGATCCATCAGGCAGTAAAAAAGTTAGAATTAAGTGCAATCCTTGTTACAAAATGAAGCAGGGAGAAATGAAGTTTCTGTTTATATGAAAAATAGACACTACGGAGAACTCCAAATTCCCAAATTAGTTTCCCTAGTCCTGAAATAGAAATCTCAACCATAGGACCTAGATGATAGTTTCCGTATCTCGCTCTCCCCTCTGACTACTTTACAGGGTAAATGATCTGAAGAAATGGCAGCAACAACCAATTAAAATTGTCCTAAAACCCAGTCATTATTAAGCAGTTAGTTTACATTGACCATTAAATAGACATCAGGGATGACTTTTAAATACTACCAATCTGATCTTCCAGCCACATATCTGCCCCTTCCAAGGCAGACTTGCTGGTACTGCACATAGATTTGCAGACAACAAACAAACGTGAACAAATCCACACAAACTCAGGGAGTCCAGCCTGGACCAGGTCTGCAATCTGGGCATGAAAAGCTGTTTATCACCAAGACCCAGTTCAGATAGAGACTGGAGCTTCAATTCAGGACTTTCAAAAACTTTTCTATTTACCCAAACTCCCAGTCTAAGCTGCTTTCATACTTTTCTGAAGACAACAATAAAAGCCTTAGCACAGCCAGTTCTTAAAGACACTTATACATGTATATTAGAGCAAAAGAGTAGGAAATAATTGGGGTTTTTTACAAATTCTTTGTGTAAAAAAGATCTTTAGCAAATTGCTAAATCTGAAAACTCTGCACTTGCCTTATTTATGTACTTAATACTGCCCGCCATCATCCACAGTTTGTTCTAGGCAGCCTCTTTATGCTTCCCTCCACACACGCACCTGGCTATGCAATCACAGTAAAATACTACCAACACCAGGGACTTCCATTTCCTCTTTTCACTTTCTGCCCTTGAAACTTGGCCAGAAGATGGGATTTTTCTTTTTTTTTAATGCTCTGTTATGTGTTATAATGCTCTTATTTTATCCCCAAAATATATCCTGAGTCTTTTAAAATCAATTACTTGGACAGTCAGAAGCACTGTAACCACATTTTAATCTCCTATTGCAGATGTTGTTTCTTTAGATTCACCAGAAGAAAACCCATTTCAGAAACACATTTTGTTCTTCAACATCTCTATTCCACAATATGAGGAAATCACCAGAGCTGAACTGAGAATTTACATCACCTGTCACAGGGAAGTTGGGTCTCTCTCTAGGCTGGAAGGCAACATGGTAATTTATGATGTTCTAGATGATGGCCACTGGGAAAACCCAGAAAGTACCAAATCTTCCCTTGTCTCCCACAATATCCAGGAATGTGGTTGGAAGATGTTCGAAGTGTCCAGCGCTGTGAAAAGATGGGTCAGGGCAGACAGACTGGAGACTAAAAATAAGCTAGAGGTTGTTATAGAGACTAAATCTCTGAGTGGTTTTACTTGTGGGAAGCTGGATGTCAGTGTTACCCCTGACACCAAAAACCTGCCCCTGTTAATAGTGTTCTCCAATGACCGCAGCAACGGGACAAAGGAGACCAAAGTAGAGCTCCGTGAGATGATTGTTCACGAACAGGAAAGCGTGCTCAAGAAACTAGGGAAGAACAACACCTCATCTGAAGAGGAGCAACAGGGAGAGGAAAAGGCCATCACTGGATCCCACCTGCATTCCTCCAGAAGCAAGAGAAGTGTTGGAGCCAACCACTGCAGGAGAACTTCCCTCCATGTGAACTTTGAAGAGATTGGCTGGGATTCCTGGATCATTGCACCAAAAGATTATGAGGCTTTCGAGTGTAAAGGAGGCTGCTTCTTCCCTCTGACAGATAACGTCACCCCAACTAAACATGCTATTGTCCAAACCCTGGTGCATCTTCAAAATCCCAAAAAAGCCTCCAAGGCCTGTTGTGTTCCAACCAAACTGGATTCAATCTCCATTCTTTATAAAGATGATGCTGGTGTGCCTACTTTGATATATAACTATGAAGGGATGAAAGTGGCAGAATGTGGCTGCAGGTAGTATACAAGGCTGAATCTCTAAAAATAGGAACATCCCCTTTTTCTGTCCTGTGTAAATCTGTACAATAGTGATGCTAATGAAGACCATTACAAACAAGGTTTGGAGCAGGGTATGGGGCTGGCTGTTGTTGCTGCTTGTTTTAAGGGAAAGTTGTCATTTAAAGAATGGCAATCTTTGTAAATAGCCTGCATTATATATCATGGCAAAGTGAATACTGGATTAAAATGTTGTGAGATTCAATGAACTATGCATTATCTGGTGACAGTGATACAATGTCAATGCCTTATTTCAAACCTTCTGTTTAATCAACTGTATTTAGGTCACAAACTAGAGGACTTTCAGTGGGGGTTTAGAATGTCCTGCAAATGTTTAACAGCTCTCGAAATCTAATTCTCTCAGTCATCTCTGACATTTTCAGCTTCAGTACAACTCAGTAAATGGAATGTTGTCTGCATGATAAAGTCAGGAATCTAAATCCAGGAAGCCTTTTCTCATATCAGTAATCTCAGAGGCTTTTACAGGCAAATTATTTGTTCCTGTAAGTGAAGATTTGCAGTATTCAAAACAGAAGAGACTCTCACTTATTTCATTCCCAAGTTTCCTTCTGTGGGTAGCAGGTGCCTTAGTCTCAGCTTTCTTATCCTCAATGTCCCTATTTTTACCCCTTTATGGCACACACTTGAATGATAAGAAGTGCAGCCTTCCGCTTCCAAGACACTGTTTCCTAGGAGGAGCAGCTGCCCTTATCGCCGCACAAAGATAAGGAGCCACTTTGACCTACTGCATATTCTTAGTATTTCTTTGCAAGAACATGCAGTCAAATGATGTCCAGCCTTAGAAGCTGTATCCTAAGAGCAGTGGGGGTTGGCAGAGCTCAGCACTTTTGAAAATGTCAGCTTAGGCTGCTTATTTAGAGGCCTAAATTTGTTGTTCAGAGTCTGGCATGAGGTTCTGATTTTGTAAAAATTTCTTCTTAGGAGAAACTCTATTTTGCATACAAAATTCTTTCACCCCTTAGAAGTCTGGGAAAAAATGGAAAACTTCTATCTATCTATGTCCTATTACATTGCTGTATGAGAAATATACTATCATACTATCATTCTTCTGACTTCAGTTTTATTTTCACTAAACACGGACACCATCTTTCCTGCAATTAAAATAGACTTCCTTTGATGCTAATGGAGGTTGTGCCTGTAAAAGGACAAACTCTCTTAAACTGGTTGCAGGTGACAGGGGTAAGTTCTGTACAACAACACCATAGCGCACCTCACTTCTACTCCTTAACCACCTTACACACATCTACCTGAGAACCCTTTTGGACCAAATCCTTAACAGATTTTTCACCCATTCAAAAATGTGAAGAATATCGATGAGGCAAAAATCTAAACATTACCCTAACATATGGAAGCAACAGAATTTAGATTGATCCATCTGTTTTGAATTAGGACAGCCTGTGGGCAAGACGAATTCATTTGGCATGAACAGGTCAGCTTGAAATCCAATACACAGTTTATTTACTATTGTTAACCTAATACAGAGCAAATAGCAGGTGAGTGTGAGCAGGGCAGTTGTAATTCTATCAAGAACTGCTGGTTAGATCACAAACCATGAGCACAAAGCACGATTCACTAGAATTCTTGAACTGATTTATAGTCTTTTTCTTTAGAACTGGTCTGCAATTGGATCAGATCTGGGATCTGGGTCCATGCAAACTCCATACATCCCTAACTGCATGCCATTAACCTCTTAAACTTCCCACAGCAGTAATCCTTTTGCCACTGGCTTCTGTCATCTTACAGTCATCGTTATGTCTTCCTCCTGCCACAGCCCCCTGTGTTGTCTCCCTCTTTTGTACCTCTTTGCTAAGCTCCTGACATTTTGCAAAACTTCTCTTAAGTGACAGAAACAACCAAACATGCACTTGGTTTGATCACATTAGAAGACTTATTCACCCTCGTGTCAATGTAATTGTAGCTAAGTGCCCTCCAGTCATCTAAACACAAGGTCCTAGTTATATTTTAACTTCACTGAATACAGGACTTTGTCCATAATTAAATGAAAAAAATGGGGAAGGGGAAAAACCTTCACAGAGAGAAATTCTCAAGAATCGAGGGAGGGTGGGGGGGTGTTACATTCTGAAGACAAACATTGGATGGGAAAAAATATACCCCAAACCATTTCTGGCTCAAAACCTCAGCTCCTAGCTGTGCTCACAGAATTCCGGAGAAGACCTACAGATCCCATCACAAAACTGGACTAGAAGTTGCTTTTATATTCAGTGAAAAAAATCAGTTGTGCTTCCAGCCAGCTTTAATGATCATACACCCACTGGCTTAACATTTTGGTTGGCATGGTAGGAAAATGAAACATGAATCTTTCCATAGGGTAATGAACAGGGTCAAGATGAAATAAGAGCCCAGTAGTGACTACAGCTGCTGCTACCTTCAGCATGGCTGAAGTGCGTGTCAAATTGATGTTTGGCTTTACATTTAGCAGCTTGATTTATGTAGTTTTGCACATTTAATTTTAAATAATTGTTTGAGATCACTCAGGTTTCAAATGCTTTGGGATGCAAGAAGTCAGCCAAGTGGTCATGATGGCTCTAGAGAGTCTACAGGCTGTGAAGAACAGGTAAGCATCTTGCCCCTGCTTCAAGCTGGGCCCCACTGGACACTGAGAAAGCCCTCCCTCATGACTGGATTGTGAATGTTGACCAGCTATTAATGAGGAGCGGGTTGGGGCTTGTGCAGTGTTCAACAGATGCACAGTTAGAATGAAAACTTATTCATTTACCATAAACACAAGGCTGATGTCACAGCTGCACAGCTCAAGGGGCCATATATCAGCATGGGGGGCAGCAGTGCCAGGAGGAGCCATCAGAGCCTCAGACCCTCAGCAGAACCATCTGTGGGATCAGATCAGTTTGGGGGCAGACCCATCTGTGGGATCAGATCAATTTGGGGGCAGACCCATCTGCAGGATTGGGATCGGTTTGGGGGCAGACCCCTCTGTGGGAATGGGATCGGTTTGGGGGCAGAACCCTCTGCAGGATCAGATCAGTTTGGGGGCAGACCCATCTGCAGGAATGGGATCGGTTTGGAGGCAGAACTCTCTGTGGGAATGGGATCGGTTTGGGGATAGCCAATGTTGATGGCCACCAAACAAAGCCTGCTGTGGGTGTCTGGACCTCTCACTGCTTCAAATATAATCCCAAGATAGGAGGGCTTGATAGATATTTAATATTCAGTATTTATGATTGGCTAACTCTGCTTGGTGTAGTGAACATGTAAATCTATCCAAAATGTAGGATGCAGAGAATACAGAAAATATAATGCAAACACGTAATATACCAATTTTTCTGGGACTGCATGTTCAAAAGTATATTTCTGAAATAGGTCAGGTTGCATATTTGAAATGCATTTTCTTGATGACCTCCTGAATCTTCTGCTTATCTAGAATATCGTAGTTCATCAGTTCAGTGGAGCTATTCAGTGTGAGTTTATCACAGCTGTGCTTCATAAACTGTGGTGACTCTCCACCTGCTCCTGGCTGAAATTAGAGAGATTTCAAAATGGGAATTCCCTTTTTCTACCTTCACTCAATCTTACATTAAATATATAAATCATCTTCTCATTCTCTTTTTTTTTCTTTTTCTTGACCACTGTAAAAACAGGGGGGAAGGGAAGGGAAGGGAATATTTACAAAAAATCAAAATCTAACACCTTTTGGATTTAAGTTTTTCTTATTATGAATGTAATCATAAACCAACTCAGAATGCTATTTTCGTTACCATAAAATGGAAATATTTTCATATTTAAGTAATGTGAAAGAAAACTTCCAACTTCAATTTTAATCTATACAGGCTTGTATGGCATAAAAACTGGAAAACCTTAGGACAAAAATCCAACATTTCTTCTTTGGTATGGGAATTAGAAAGGAATCTGAGGGCGTTATTATTAATTCTTTTTATTTCTGAGGGGTCTACAAAGCCTACTCAGGAACAAGTTTTCCTTTGAACCAAACAGTACAAGAACAGAACAGAATAGACAGTCTCAGACCATACCTATGCAATCCAGTCATGCCTGTCACAGACAGCTATGAAGCTGTACTGACCCAGACTTGTACATCTATAAAAGGCAGTGAAGGTTTGTCTAGAAATACTTATTGAAGTCCTGGAAGCATTAAATATCTCATTAGCATAGTCCTGTGCTTGAGCTAATAAATTCTGCCTCTCAGTATTTGGAAGCCAGCTATCACCTTTAAATTAATTCTTATTCATACATATAATTTGAAAAAATGGCTGCATTAAAGGCTTTACTAAAAGCAAAAGTAGTTTATCCCAACTTTTACCTTTATCCTGTTGGCATCTCTGCCAGTGAAAAAGGTGTTCTTGCTGCCACCTTCAGATGAGCCTCCTGCTACTGCGGCTTGTCAGTGACCAAATATCTGCATGAGTCTGATGAGGGAATGGTGGGAGCAGCTGCACACGAGAAAAGGGGAATACTGGAGCAGAATATGGAATGCAAACACTATACAGAAAAACATTTAATCTTGTGCCTATGGAAGATTTTTAGCATGTGATCTGAGTAATGCAGACTGTGCAAGCAGACTAGTCTGGGACAGATAAAAAATACCTCTTTTCAGAGTATGTGGGAAATTCATACCCACAGGAAGTCAGAAAATGAAATACTTGTGGACAGATTTTAAAGGATCATAAAGTTTTATGAGTTATAAAAACTAAAACTAGGCCTTAGCTATTTAGTTCTGCTCAAAACTAAAATCAAAATAAGACTTTGGCTTGAATTATATTATAAATTAGAATAGATGGTAGAGTTACATTTTGGATTTGGTTATTCAGAGTTCAATGAACAGACTTGCATTAAACAACATATTTGATAGAAATTTAAGCTATATGTGCCTCAAAATGAGTAAGCAAATAGTCATTCTCCAAATCTTAAGGAATTCACACCACACAGAAAGGATTCTTAACTTCTAACACCATCTGTAAAGAATTACCAAGGTAGCAGCGAAAGTTACATGTCACATTGAATTCAGAAATCCATACTGAATATTCATATTGAATTTCAATGGAAATAGATTACTGAAAAGATCCAGTGAGGAAAAAATAATTTTTTCCACTGTCCTAGCATTTTAAATTGTGCATGTTGGAAAAAATCCTTAATTTTACATTTACATTATGAAGCTGTTTTTTGGGGTTTTTAACATGTGGCAGCAAT